AAGGCTGAGGCGGAAGGATCGCCAGAGCCCGGCAGGTCGAGGCTGCGGTGGCCGGGAGCGACCACTGCACTCCAGTCTGGGCGACGGAGTGACACTCCAACTCAAAAAAAAAAAAAAGAAATGACAAGGGGCCAGGCACGATGGCTCAACCTGTAATCCCAGCACTTTGGGAGACTGAGGGGAGAGAATTGCCTGAACCCAGGGGTTCGAGACCAGCCTGGACAACTTGGTGAGACCTCGTCTCTACAATAAATCACAAAAAAAGAAAAAAGTAGCCAGGTGTGGTAGTGTGCATCTGTAGTTCCAGCTACTCGGAAGGCTGAGGCGGAAGGATCGCCTGAGCCCAGCAGGCTGAGGCTGCAGTGGTGGTGAGCATGCTGCTGCACTCCAGCCTGGAAGACAAGAGTGAGACTCCAACTCAGGAAAAAAAAAAAAGAAATGATAAAGTTCTTGCCTTCGAGGAGCTTTCAGGCTGCAACAGGAGGGGACAGGATGTCAGAGAGGTATGACAGTCTAGGACGGGGAGCTCACAGGGTGACATGGGTGGGGGAGGGGCACTCAGAAAGGCCTCACCCTGAGTGTGACTCACAAGACACGGCTGGGAGCAACCTGGACATCATACCAGGAAGTCACAAAAGTCCCTCAGAACTAGGATGGCCGTAGGGCCTCGTTTCCCCAAAACAATCCCAGGTGACTTCCATTGTCCCAGTTTAAGTGTCAGTGGCAACAAAGTATTTCCCTATAAAATTGTTATAATTACAGCCAGGTGCGGTAGCGCATGCTTATAATCCCAGCACTTTGGGAGGCCAAGGTGAGACGATTGCCTGAGCTCACCGGTTCGAGACCAGTCTGGGCAACTTGGCAAGAACTCATCTCTACAATAAGTCAAGACATTAGCCGGGCAGGGGGGCACGTGCCAAGTTCCAGCTACTTGGAAGGCTGAGGCGGAAGAATCACTGGAGCCCAGCTGGTTGACGCTGAGGTGGCCGTGAGCGGCATGCCACTGCACTCCAACCTGGGAGATGGAGTGAGACTCTGACTTAAAAAAAAATTATTGGCCTGAGCAAGTTCTTTCCTTTCGCTGCGGCGGCCGCAGCCATGAGTACACTCAGGCTTCACAAGAGACTTGCCTCCAGTGTCCTACGCTGTGGCAAAAAGAAGGTCTGGTTGGACCCCAATGAAATTGCCAATGCCAATTCCCGTGAGCAGATCTGGAAACTGATCAAAGACGGGCTGATCATCTGCAAGCCAGTGACTGTTCACTCCCGAGCTCAATGCCAGAAGAGCACCTTGACCCGCCGGAAGGGCAAGCACATGAGCACAGGTAAGCGAGAGGGGACAGCCAATGCGCGGATGCCCGAGAAGGCGACCTGGATGAGGAGGGTGAGGATCCTGGGCCGGCTGCTCAGGAGCTACCGTGAATCGAAGAACATCAACCACCACATGTATCACAGTCTCTACCTGAAGGTGAAAGGGAATGTGTTCAAGAACAAGCGGATCCTCAGGGGCAACATTGTAAGATCTCGTCTCTACAAAATAATAAAAATAATTAGATGGATGGGTGGCACATCCCAGCTACTTGGGAGGCTGAGGCAGGAGGATCACCTGAGCCCAGGAGGTCGAGGCTGCAGGAAACTGATTGTGCTGCTGAACCCAGCCTGGGCAATAGAGTAAGACCCCCAACTCAAAACAAACAAACAAACTCCCCAAAACAAACCAAAACATTCACAAGCTGAAGGCAGTCAAGGCCCGTAAGAAGCTGCTGGCGGACCAGGCTGAGGAGTGCAGGTCTAAGACCAAGGCAGTGCACAAGCTCCGTGAAAAGCACCTGCAGGCCAAGAAGGAGGAGATCGTCAAGACTCTGTCCAAGGAGGAGGAGACCAAGAAATAAGGCTCTCTGCCCTTGTCTGTACATAGTGGTCTCGGTGGTTACAAAGATCAGTCCTGCAAATAAAACGGGCTTTCCCTGAAAAAAAAAATTGTTATAATTACAAAGAGGAAAATAGTAACTTAGCAGGTGCTAATCCAGGAGCTGAGCTGAACCTCACTGCTGGTGGTGCAAAAGACCATTGTGCAGGCCCCACGTGCTGTGCTCAGAACGACACACCAGCACCTTTGGGATGTTCTTGCCAAGAGTACACAGACGACTCTCATCACCAAATTAAGGAGCATCCGACACGACAGCTGGACCACAAAAGACGCCATGGTCAAGAAAGGCAAGACAAACTAAGGAATCATTCTAGGTTAAAGGAGATTAGAGGGAAATGACAACCAAATGCAATGCATGTTACAAGATTGCATGTTGGTTGGAAAAAGTGCAATAGCAGGTCATCTGGGGAAAGGTGAATGCCATGTGGGTTACGTGAGATACTGCTATCGGTGCACATGACCTTGGATTTAGGAAATACACCTAGAAATATTATGTTTTGGTTTTTGTTTTGGGGGGTTTGTTTGTGTGTTTGTTTGTTTTGAGTTGGGTTCTTACTCTATTGCCCAGGCTGGGTTCAGCAGCACAATCACAGCTTACTGCAGCCTCGACCTCTTAGGCTCAGGTGATCCTCCTCCTCAGCCTCCCAAGTAGCTGGGACTAGAGGCGTGTGCCACCCATCCATCTAATTATTTTTATTATTTTGTGGAGACGAGATCTTACAATGTTACCCAGGCTGGTCTCGAACTCCGGAGTTCAAGTCATCATCCCGCCTCATTTTGCCAAAGTGCTGGGATTACAGGTGGTTGAGTCACTGCGCCCAGCCACATTTCGGGGTTTTAAAAAGTGCCACGGTCTGCGTAATAAATGGTGTGGTCTCCTTCCCCAGAACCCAGTGAGAACCCAACCCTCTTCCTTCCCAGCCTGTGGGCCTCTCACCATTGATAAGGACTTTTCAGGTCAGCCTGGGCTTCGAGAGTGTCAGCTCAATGGGTCGGTCAGCTGAGCCCCAGAGAGGGTCAGCTCGAGGCTGGTAAGCCTGGCCCCAGAAGTGTCGGTTCTAATGGGCTGGCAAGCCAAGCCCTGAGAGTGTTGATGGTTCATGGAGCTGGCAAGCCTCGCCCCTGGAGTGTCTGAGCTTCGGAGTCTCGCCTTCTTCCAGCAGCTCTCCTGGTTCAGCTGGCTCCATCGACTGGCAAGCCAGGTCCCAGGGTCACAGTTCTTCAGGTTCTTGTCTCGTGTTCAGAAAGAATGAGGGACAGGGACAGCCAGAAAGTAAGAAAGTAGGATTTGGCCGGGCTCGGTGGCTCAGCCTGTAATCCCAGAACTTTGGAAGGCTGAGGTGAGTGGATTGCCTGAGCCCGCGGGTTTGAGACCCGCCTGGGCAAC